TGTAAACTCGATCAGCCTTTGTCATTACCATTTGATCGATATCGTCTTTCCAATGAATTTCGAACTGGTCGTGGAACATCTATTTCATTTGATTTTGGTCAAGATCTTTCACATGATTTTCTTATTCATGCATCATCAAATAACATATCAATTCAACATCTCACATTTGCTATTTATTTCATCTTTCTATTTAAATCAACTAATGGACAAGCAGATCTATGTCTGGCTCTAAACATCAATAATAATCGATATAGAGATGAACTCAAATTAATCATTGGATTGTTTGAGAATGTCATTCCATTACGATGTCAATTAAATCCTCATTGGTCTTTTCATCATTTACTCGAGCATGTTCAAGAGATAACAACAAATAGTATGAAATATTCATATTTTCCACTTCAACGTATTCTCGATCAACATCCACATATTTCAACACATACATTTTTGGATACATCTCTCGAATCTATATCATACAATAGTAACAATGACAACAGTGCAATTATGATTGGTGATTCTCAACTTGTTCCAACACCTTCCTCATTCAACGAAAACGACGATGAGATATTAAATTTATCCGACTTCTCTCTTTCTATTTATCATGATATGAATGTGAATCAACTCTCATGCACAATCAAGGCATCACTTGCCTTATTCAATAGAAAGTCAGTCGAGAAGATTTCACAACGATTCCATTCCATCTTACATCAATTATCTACATCTATTATCGACAGTCAAATAAACAAACCTATCTATGAAGTATCATTAATATTATCAAATGAGCAATATCTAATGCAATCAATGAATAATACACAAATATCATTCTCATCTCCTCTCACTTGTATTCATCATGAATTTGTATATCAAGCAATGAAACATCCACAAAAACTAGCTGTTGAACTTGATGAACAATCATTAACATATTGTGAACTTCTATATTATATACAAATACTATCTTTAACTCTTCTTAATGAATATCATGTGTTTCCAGGTGAAGTCGTGTGTCAATGTGTTGAGAGAAGTTTGTCTATGGTAAGTTATTTTTCGAGGCTGAGGTTTAGCGTGATTGATATTTTCATACTCTATAGGTAATTGGTATAATGGGAATTGAAATGGCTGGTAGTGTTTATTGTCCATTACCACCTCGAGATCCACAACAACGTTTGCACGCACTGATACAACAAACACAGAGTCGTCTTGTACTTGTTCATCATGTAACTAAGACTAAATTGGATGATGATATTATTTCACTGGATATTGATTCAATATTGATTAATAATTATGTAGTAAGCGATGTTTATGTTGATCGACTATCAAGTGTTACAGTCACACCTAATGATATTGCTTATATAATTTTCACAAGTGGTTCAACTGGAATACCAAAAGCAGTGAGTTAACACTAGAATTTCTATCTCCCGTTTCTATTTCTCTTCATTCTAACAGGTTCAAATTCGCCATGAAAATTTCACTCGTTATATGTACTCATTTGTAAGTGTTAGCACATTGAAGGAGGATGATGTAGCTGTCCAGATGGCTCGAAGTACTTTTGACGTTCATCTTGAACAAATAGTTGGTATTTTATTAATTGGCGCTACAGTGGTTATGCTACGTGCAAGAGGAATGACTGATTTTGATTATTTAGCCGATGTGCTATACAAAAAACAGATTACATGTTTGGGTGCTGTACCAGTTTTATTTCAAAGTTTTTTCAGTTACCTCAGTCAGTATAAGAAAATATATGTTGTGAAGTATCTTCGATCACTTTTTAGTGGAGGTGAGTGAAAACAAACGCTTTTCGTGATTTCCTTTTCATCGCACTCTTGTTTCGGTAGGTGACGCATTTTCTTCCGAACTGATTGGTTTGATCCAAGTGAGTAATATTCCCAATTATACTTTATGGAACATGTATGGTCCATCTGAAACGACGATTACATCTACATTTCATCTCGTAGATATAGAAGCCTCTACAAAGTGTATTCCAATTGGTAGACCATTTTCTAATTACCGATGTATGATTATAAATGAATATTCACAACAAGCAATCACTAATCAAGATGGTGAATTATTTATAGGAGGAGTGGGTGTCTTTGCTGGTTATCTTGGACGTGATGACTTAACTGCAAAAGCTCTTGTTGAAATAGATAGCCAAGTATTTTATCGAACAGGTGATCTTGTTACAATCGATGGCAATGGTCTTCTGTATTATCAAGGAAGAAAAGATCATCAAATCAAACTTCATGGACAAAGAAGTGAACTTGGTGAAATAGAACGATGTTTACTTAACATCATATCCATCTCTGCCTGTGTTGTCATGAAATGGAATGATGATTACTTAGTTGCTTATGTTCAGTCTTTTAATGTTAATGAAGAACAACTCCACCAACATTGTCAATGCCATCTTCCACCCCATATGATTCCATCAATATTTATTATTCTTGATATGCTACCATTGAATCAAAATGGAAAAATAGATCGAAAACAACTTCCTTCACCTAGTTTCAATCATCTATCATCAGATCGACTCGAACATCATATTAAACTATTACTACCAACAAATAATATTGAAATTAGCATTCATCAGATTTGGTGTGAAATATTCAAACAAAATCAAATCTCAACTGATACAAATATCTTTACTATTGGTGGCCACTCATTACTAATGATAGAACTTTTTCATCGATACAAGATCGAATTTCACCTAGAACAAAAGCAAAGTAGTTTCTCAATATCAAATGTATTTCAGCATCCAACAATTATTCATCATGCTCAACTCATTCAACAATCTATCAATACCATCCACACTCTGGATGATTATTCTTGGTCTTCCTTACATCTCACTCAAGGTAAACAAAACAGCTTGTACTAGATATTATCATCGACTACATATTTGTCTCTTTTTCTCGTTTATAGCGAGAGCATCATTTGCACAAGAACGAATCTATTTAGACGAACAAATTCGTTTTTCATCTGAAACAGCGATGAACAATATGTATGCTATTCCATTCCTTTATCGTATATCATCTATGAATGATCATGTGTCAATTACCCGATTACATCATGCATTTCAAAGTGTTATCACAAAAAATAATACTCTTCGAACCGCACTTTACATTGACGATACAAATGGCAGTATTGTACAACACTGTTTAAATACAAATATCATTCTTGATGATCATATGAAATCATATGAATTGACAATCGTTAATATTCATAATGGTGATCATCGTCATATGAATGAAATTGTTGAAGAAATATTAAATCAAGCTGATTTATTTGATTTATCAAAAGGACGTGTTATTCGTTGTCATATACTTCGTTGTCAGCAATCAAACCTTTCATTCACTCAGAATAGTGATCTATTGACTAAAGATGATCTAATATTATTTACCATTCATCATGCAATGTTTGACGGAGCATCAGAACCAATTTTTATTCTTGATTTTTCTCTTGCTTATCAATCTGATGGTTCACTACCTATAGATGATAATTCATTAGAATACATCGACTATTCTGTTCATGAACATATCATAGATATGTCATTATCTCGTGAATT